AAAGAGAGTCAAATTGGTAAGAAAATTTTTTTTGCACCACTGAGTCTCAAGAGAGTCTCACGTTTTGGCAATTGCTCTCATATAATATTTAATGTGTCTTTTTAAAATATGCACAAACATTTCATTTGAAATACAAATCGATCCATTGACATTTGACATTGTTAAAATTATACAGTAACAGATAAAAAAAAAAAGATTCCATTTAATTCAGCATTGTAAATTGGTTTGGTGAGTTTTGTTGCAGAGTATAGGTGAGTTTCGATGAATTTTGGTAAGTTAGGTAAGTTTCAGTGAGTTTCTATATACTAATTTCGGTGGGTTTCCGTTTAGACATTGCATACCATTTCACATTACCTGCACAGATCGATGGTTGACAACCTTCAGCAATATCGATATATTGACCAATAATTCCTTTACAATTCACTGCTTCTTGAATAAAGAACTTTGTAAACCCCTTGAACTTGTTCCGTCGTATCACATCAAGGAAAAGTAGCATAAATCCCATCAGAATCAAATGCCACGGAAGGGTAAACAGCAGGGAAAAGATGAATTTGAAAGGAAAAAAATTTATCAAAAAGTGTTTCCTCTCCATAGCACCAACTTCCTCATAGGTTTGCCATTGCTTTGTGGGATTTGACACACCCACATTGTCTTTTCCGTGCTGCTTAGGACTGACTTGGTCAAATCTGTTTCTTACAACTGATGAACTTTCATTTTCATGCGCACCACCAGAATCAGAAGAAGGCTCATCTGTGGCTAGGGCAACAAGCATCTGTTCTGATGTAGCACCGAGAAGACGTTTGTACTCATAGTGGACATCACCCTTATTCTTTTTTCCATTATTAATAATTTTCACGGAGAACACTGGGTATTCTTTGTCCAGAAGTCTGTGACCATCACTTCCCATGTACTCAGTCTTAGATCTGAAGTCAACGATGCATTTTATGCCTAACTTTCTAAATTTATCAAGCTCATCAGATATTAATCTGTCTGGCTTTGACGACCTATATATTGCAGCTGCACCATGGCATTGAGCACTGCTTTCTTGCTGCAGGGAGTGTTTGCATAGGACTCGTAAGTTCGGCAAGCTCTTGATTTTCGTCAACTGCTCGGTTTTGTTTGGATCATGAACTTCCATCTTGGTCTGCTACAGGATCGCAGTTAATGATGCACTCAACTGTCATTGGCTTAAAATTCTAAAATTTGTTGTAGTTATGACTTCAAGGGAGATCACTCTCGTAGAAGTTTCAATTATTTGTTTAGATTTTTACAGCCTTGCTTGCGCCCAAAGCACGTCGAGGGTGACAATAAAAAACAGCGCGACGGATCAGTGATTTTGTACAGAGATACGATCGCTGTAGGTCTGCTGCACTAATAGAAGTTTGAGGTTAGTAGAGGCTGCTCTCTGTGTGTGATTGAATAGCGAACATTCAATATGCATATGTCACTCTGAGTCGGTGTCTTGCCCCGACAAATCACAACAAAGTGAAAGTGGTTATTCAAGGAGTTTCGATTAAGGACAGATATTTATGCTAACTGAACCGTCTGTGTTTTTCTTTATTTTTCTTCTTTTTTACAACGTAAACGACTTCCAGTGTAGATCTAATTCAAGTTTTTCATTTTACTCTTGGTTTGTTCTTTGTTCTGAATTAAATCAAGAGAAATCTAGATCTAGACTTTCTAGATTCTAGATTAGATAGACTAGAATCTAGAATCTAGACTAGTAAAAAAAGTAGTACTAGATCTAGATCTCTAGATCTAGATCTAGATCTAGATCTAGAATCTAGATCTAGATCTAGATCTAGATATCTAGATCTAGATTAGTACTAGACTAGATCTAGATCTAGATCTAGATATAGATCTAGATATAGATCTAGATCTAGATCTAATCTGGAGATCTAGAATCTAATCTAGATCTAGAATCTAGTGTCAGAGCAAGTCCTGGGCCCAACACTAGACTCTAGATCTAGTCTAGAAATCTAGATCTCTACTCTACTAGAGTACAAATAAACTCTAGATTATATAGATATCTAGATCTAGATTCTAGATCTAGACCAGACCATCAATGATTTATTTATGGGAGTGTATACAGACCCGGTAACCGGGAATAAAGTCACAAAGTGTACAGACCCGGTAGGGGAAATCTTTTGTGATTTCGGAGAATTTCAGCGCCCTTTTGGCTCAGGGTAGACCTAGGTTTTTCTAGATCTATGGTCTAGATCTAGATCTAGGCAGACAGACATAAATCTTTGATCTAGAAATCTAGTTTCGGGGTTAGCCTAGATCTAAATGAAGATTGCGGATGTCTTTTCGACAAACGATCGTTTTTACTCCGTTTTGGAGTTGGAGGAGTCACAATTTGAAGAAAAGAACAACAATGTCATAATTTCAATCGAGCAGTCCCCCCCCCCCTCTCTCTCTTTCTCTCTCTTTCTCTTTCTCTCTCTCTCTCTCTCTCTCTCTCTCTCTCTCTCTCTCTCTCTCTCTCTCTCTCTCTCTCTCTCCTCTGGGTATCGCTCGCCTTCTCTTTTTCCTTATTTGTCTCTCTGTCTTTCTTTGCCCGCACCTATTTCCCACTCTATCTTTCTCTCGTTCCCTCCTGCCAACTCTCTCTCTCTCTCTCTCTCTCTCTCTCTCTCTCGCTCTCTCTCTCTCTTCCCGTAATCACAAAAGAGTTCCCCTACCGGGTCTGTATACTTCGTGACTTTGTTCCCGGTTACCGGGTCTACATACACTTCGTTTATTTATAGAGGCACCAGCCATCCATGTCCAGGTGCTGTTTTAGCCTCTTTTTCTAGATCTAGGTCTACGTGACCATTGACCAATATAATAATAATATGTAGCGTGTCATAAGTATAACACAGTGATTATTCTCACCCGGGGTGAGAATAAAATTTTATACTATTCTCACCCCGGGTGAGAATAACGACAGCCTACTATTCTCACCTGGTTTTTTTTAAATTTCGGGCATCATAGGACCCCTGTCAGTGAGCGCTCCAGGCGACAAAACTCGCCTCCCTCCCTCTCTCACTCCGCTGAGCGCGCGAGTAAACTAAAATCGAGAACGGAACGGGAGGGCCAGCTCTCAGGCCCGGGAGGCGACTATTGTCGATTTGGGGGGGAAACCTTATCTTTTGACCAAATAGCGTCACCTTTTGGTGCTACAGTATCAATTTATTGGTTCTGTAACGGAACATTTTACTCTTGAATGGTTTAACCAATCAAAATTGAGAAAAAAATAAGCCTAGGTTCATGGCACTGCGTTCCTTAAAAAATAATTGTGGGTTCTACTGGGGATAACAATTAAACGTTTTTTTGTGTTGTAAACAAATGCCAATTCTAACTTTACAAATGACAAACATTATTTCATTAAACAGCTTTCAGTTAAGGCTATTAATTTTAAAAACATACTATTCTGGCAAGTGAGTTCCTTTCTGAATTTAGAATATATTTGCACTTGTCTAGGGTTTTGGTGTAGATATTCGTGCATACTCTCAACTCAAGATTTTAAAAAAATGAAACAATAACAATTCCCGCGGGAGCCTAGAAAAATCGGCCAGCGCTCACGGGCAGGTCATGAACGGTCACTCTCTTACAATTCACAAATTATTTTCCATCATCCGTTCTCAACACCCAGGTAGACCTATAAATCCATTGCATTCTCACCGGGTGAGAATAGCAATTTAATATTATTCTCACCCCGGGTGAGAATAAAATGGATATTATTCTCACCCCGGATGAGAATAACATTATATTTTATTTTCACCCCGGGTGAGAATAACATTATATTTTATTTTCACCCTGGGTGAAAATAACGACAGCCGAAGTATAAAGTATAAAAGGCAAAGGGTTTGGTCACAACGTAATGACAAAGGTGGGAGAACTCGGTCAGAGATGGAGAGCTATTCTTTTGGGACAGGTAAAGGGGAGTGGCAATTTGATAAGGGTAGATCTAGGTCTTCAGACTCAGGATAGGATAATAAGTGAAATATGGCATTCCTCATGCCGCTTTGATTGGTCATCAAGGTTGACCACTCTTTACTCGCCATGTCATAAACTCACCTGAGGTCACGTCAGTTCGATAAAGAGTGGAGGGAGACCATTTTACCGGCTTTGCTGAGCCCTAATACGTGTCGCTGGAGATTCTTCCCTGGGTTCATCCGCTAAGATCCCGTTCACCTCCACTTTTCTTGCTTCCAAGCACCAGGATCTTAGGCAGAGACTACAACTACTGTATTAACTTTAAAGCTTCTAAGGGCAGGCATGTGTCATGGCACAGTGGAATCTCGCTTGTCAATTTTTGGGCATATTTTGGAGTTGTCATGTATGATCTTAAAGCCTGTACAGATGCTTTGCTTTTAGTGAAGAAAAATGCCCATCTTACCTTGAAAAGAAGGCAAGGTATTTGCCATTGAAGCGCGGTTGCCTGGTGTCAGAGGTAAAATTAGCCAGAAAATGGCCACCAAAATTATGTGACTTACAAAGCTGAGCAGTGAGTGTGCTTTGATATTGAACATTTACACTTTTTTGGTCTTTCATCAACATTTTTCAGGATTGTATTTTTAAAGGTACATTAAAAGTGTTGAGCCCACAGTATTAAGAAGTTCTATAGAAATTGTCCAATGGGTAGCAAGTCGGGTTTCTTTGATTTCATTATTTTGACGAGGGTCTGATTTTACCCAGATGGCACACATTATATTCAGCCACACAGGTGCACTTACACAGTGACACTTGGATGTGACACTCCAATAAACAAACACACACACACACACACACACACTCACACACACCACTTCTTTTGAAAACACCTTTGAAGATTCATTGATAAGTGAGTTGTAAAAGCTATTTTCAGAAGAATGTTTAAAAGGACGGCTGTGTTTTATTCTTGCGGTCCAAGTGAGTTTCCTTGGCTATGATTTAGGAGTCTCAGGAAAGGTCCTGTTGGAATAATCCGCGCACTGACTGGAAGGCAATTAGCTCTGATTTCTGTACAGTGTGTTCCATACCTTATGACTGAATTTAGCTCTTTACTTATTTCTAGGCTTAACACTTTCCATCCCCACAACATGCAGAACAAACACTTGTCTCCATGGACCAGAATGCAGATACTGTATATATCAGTACTACACCTGTATCTCCGCAAAAATACCTCAACCTTTGTTAAAGTTTCAGCGCTCTGAGAAAATTCAAAGTGATGATCGCATGTTCACCAAAAAAAGGAATTAGAATCGGAACTGAAAACATTAGATCTAGATTATTCATCACCTGAATTCTCATCGTGGCATAAGAGTAAAACAGCACTCATGCTAGGTCTACTCAACATTTTTCAAAAATTTACTCCTATTGTTGTATGCACTCTGATTTTTGACCTCAATGGCCACACAGATCATACAGAAAGGAAATTTTAACTTTAACAAGTGAGCTTTTTTGCTATATCACACCGTCGCCTATCAGTGTCCCGTGGGGGAAAATTGTTAAAGGGGCTGTTGGAATTGGTCATAGTGGACTACACAGTTTGTGCGCAACATCAGACTGACTGTCTTACTGCTGTCATCGAGAACAAGGAAGAAGAAGAAAGGTCATAATGCCTCAGTGCTACAGCCAGAGCCTCGGCTCACGTTGCATCCAGATGGTCACTGATACAGTAAATGTGAAATCGGCAAGTGTGTTATTTAGGGAACGTGTGGATTCCAGTGCAAGGAGCAGAAGAGGCAAAGGTGTCAATATTAACTTTCTTAGTATTTGGCACACCAGTTCAGCTGGCTCACAACATAACTTGGTTGTTTAAAGTCATAAAAAAAATCTCCCAAACCTCAGCAAACCCATTTTATCTATTATCAGACAGTATGTTAACTGCTTGGACCATTCATTTCCTCTCAATTTTGTGTTTATTTCGTGTAAATTTTTATAGGTTAAACTGGAGCAAAATTAAGGGGAAGTCTGTGATGCTAAAAACTTGGATGACAAAATTGGTGGTGTGCAAAGGAGGGAATAGCCTTCCATAAGTTAGGAGTTAAGGTTAAAAATAGTCTTGATCATTTGATTTTATATTCCCTCCTGAGTTGCATCACTGGGGCTTTTTACAAGTCATTATTATATGTGTACTCATATATACTCATATGTTTCAGGTACTGGAGTGATGGAAACAGCTTTATCTTGAGTGACGTCAGGTGGAAAAAGTAAAAGTTTCAACTTTATGACCTGGTTCCTCAATCTGTGTCGTGTGCTCTCAGGGAATGGATGTATTCTTGGAACATTTCCTCAATTCTGAATAATTTATTTTCTGTCAGCTGAGAAATTGAATCCTGAGATTTTGTTCTGTTTTGCGGATTTAATTTGTCCTAGTTCAAGAACATGATGTTTTCTCTGGTGTGAAAGAAGGAACACAGGATTTAGTTTCCACATCATCTGTAGCCATCCCTGTACTGTACGTGAGGCCTCGTCTAGAGTTGCATCATGGAGGAGAAGGAGGTCAACAGCGACGTGGAGTCACAGGGTTCCGACTCTGTGGAGGAGATCATCACAATGAGGCCGATCCCGACGCCACGCCTCGTCACGCTGCAGCACCCCATCGGTGGATGGTCCGAGCGGAGTAACGAAGTAGACAGCGGTTTGCCGAGTTCCTCGAGAGATCGGGAACATACCGTGAGTTTTTTTGTTTTTTTTAACATACAGTGAGGTTTTAAAAATGTTTAGCATACAGTGAGAATTTATTTTTACGTGCAGTGAGTTCTTTTTTCATTTCATTCTATCTCTGAAATTTGGAGCAGGGTGGCAACCTCTTCAGTGAAGGTAAGGGAAAAATCAGAACCACATGTGCGAAAATGTAGCGATTTAAAAGCATTGTTGAATATCAGTAGCAAAAATTTCCCCAAATGTGGCCTTACACGAGATTCTCAGGATGTCAGTGGGACATTTTTTTGCTCTAAAATTATTTAATGATCACACTTTGGCTCACTGTGGTGGATGAAAATTGAATAAAAATATAGTGAGACAATGTTCAAGACGAACAGCTCTTGATTTGCGATGGTTGTAAAACTTTTTAAATGTTACGTAAATGCTCATGCTGTGAGATGTTTAGCTCAGGTATTGACTACCCATTGTGAAGTTTTGAAGATTTGTACAACTCTGCCCTGTAGAAAACTGTGGTGGATACTACAGTGGACTTCTGATACAAGACAAGATTGTCGCTGGTACCAACCAGTGGTTCTTGTTGAGTGTAATACAGGATGTAGCCATGTATAACCAGAGTGCCTGCCTGAGTGGCATGGAGGGGGGGGGGGGGACTTGATATCGTTGCCCTGTGAGAAAATCTGATAAGTGAGTATATTCTCCAGCAGACAGTGAAAGATCTTGTTATTTTGTGTGTGTTTGAGCATTTTAACTAGCTGCTTGCTCTGTTTGCTTCCCGGGAAGCTGAGAATTCTGTCCCCGGGATTTTGTGCACCCCACATAATTTAGCAGAATTTTATCATTTTTTGCATAATTTTAAATTATTTTCCTTTATCATTCTTTGTTAAAATTAACAAAATCGCATAATTTCACTTTTTTGGGCTCAGTTTGCATAATTTCAGAATTTTTTTGCATAAAACCGCGGGGACAGAAATTTGTCCTTGTGTTCGAAAGTCTGCTAGGATAATGATATGGATATTGTTTGTAAGGTGCATAGAACTTGCTGTTGAAGTGGTTATATGTGCTCTATACAAATGCCTTTTATTTCTTATTTTTTTGTACTAGTAGCAGGATTGTGTTTGAGCCAACATGTCCTCATGTAGACATTATGCTGCAGGGAGAAAGATATTAATGATGATGAAAATGAGGATTATGTGGCTCAAAGATTGATTGTCATGCTATCAGGATGCTAATCATGAAGTTAGGCAAGTAATTTTATACAAATAGGCCCACTCTAATCTTTTTTATTTCCAGGTGCACAGACAGTCTTCAACCTCAGTGTTCCCCGCTATAATTCCTCTGAACGTTGGCGGACAGCTGTACATGACTCGTCTATCGACTCTCCTCAAATTCTCAGACTCGATGTTGGCGGCTATGTTCAGCGGCCGTCATCAAATAGATAAAGACAAAGATGGGAACTTCTTCCTTGACAGTAACGGTACCGTGTTTGCACACATTCTGGAGTACCTCCGGTACGGCTCTATACCGCCAAACGATGTGGCCTACCTCGTATTCAAAGACGCCAACTACTACGGCCTTTTCGAGCTGGTGGAGAAGCTTCAGCTAAAGCCCGAGATTGCCTCGTTGGCGGTGAAAGAGTCGCAGCGGGCGCAGTTTCCGAACTACGCTCAAGTCAAGGAGGAAGTTATCAAAGCGGCCATGGCGCGGGCTGCGGTCGCTCGGGTTGGCGACGTCTTCATCTATGCATTCCGGAAAGAGTTCAAGCCTCGGACTCCGACCTTCAATCCGAAGCACGGCTGCATCGTGGAGAATGCCCAAGTGACGGTGGGTCCCTGGGAGGCGGCGGCGGATGAGGACACGTTCATCCGATGCCTGGAGAACGACCTGCAGGAGGAAGGGTTCACCCTCCGTCCCCACGAAGGAAAGAAGAAGTGTAAGTACTACTTTGGACAAACGTGCCCGAAGAGCATTTTCAAGCTTACCATTTTGTTTGATTGAATCTGACCTTATTTGTTGGTTTATTGTACATCTTGAAGATGAGAGCGTGTTAGAAGTATGTGTGGGTGTGTGGTCATTTAGATGTATACATATATGTTGTGTGCATGTTTACATTTCGCTTTTGGTATTATGTCCAGTCTTCATATTTTCCTGTATAACATTTAAATACATACTTATCATATATATGAAAATGGGAAGTCTAGACTTGACAGTAAGAATATAATGCATGCATGTTATATGTAAATACTTGTGTCTATATACCATACTCAGTAGCCTTTGGTTATTTTGGACTCTGTGATAAAATTTTAAAATTTATTATATTTTTTGTATCCTTTAAACCATGTTTGAAAAAAAGGTAGGAATTTATAAAACGATTTTAATACAATCAAGCCTGCCTTAAAAAGACCACTGTTCTGTGGCATCCTTGCATTATTTTTTTCTACATTTTTTTAGTCAGTCCATAGTGGTCCCTCTCCTTCACGGCCAGGGTTAGTCATAAATTTAACTTAATTTAAGTGACAAATCAGCCTCAAAACGAGTCAAAACCTGCTCTCAGGGATCACTCGCAACAACACAATTTTTTCGTAAACCCGTCCTCAGACTGTGTGAGGGTGTTTGTGTGTGTGTGTGTGTGTGTGTGTGTGTTTATGTTCAATCAATGCGGAAAAGCTCTCATGATAAGTAACAATGTTGATGGCAATGAAATGGAAAGGAAAAGTTAAGATATATAGTGTAAAGCGCATAGAGCCTGCTGTTGAGCGGGGATATGCGCTATACAAATGCTATTTATTATTATTATTATTATTATATCAGATTTTAAACCATCAGTTGACTTTGTTTAGTTTCGTAATTGACCTCAATTCAGATCGTATCCTTAGTGGTCACCTGTATTATATATATATGTGTGTGTGGGTGTGTAGCGATCACTTTTGTTTGTGACCTGTAGTGACTGTTATGGATGGATTTGACCGCTGCTGAATTTTTTCTGCCTATTTTGTCTGGACATCACATAATTTGAATTCACTGATTGATATATATATAAGACATGTGCATGTAGTGTGCAGTCCGATTAAATTCACATGAGGTGTTAATTTTATGTCAAACACAATCACAAGGCACTGAGGTTGTAGATAAGGCAAATGAATTTTTTTATGTGTCATTTGTTTTTTGCTGTGTGTTATTCTTCACCTCTTTTGCTGTCCACCTCTCCCTGTCTCTTCCGTCGTCAGTTAAGTCCTCTCTTTATCGTTCACCTTGCTGAATCTTGCTGTACTGTAGATATATCTTTGTGGGTGGTTGATGGGTGCTCTGGTATGGTTTGCTCCTTCTTTCCTATCTAACGCCTGTCATCCTTATCTCCCCTCCTTCTCTTTTGTGTTTGTTACTCTCTTGTAACACCTCTAATCTTCGGCACTTATTCGACATTACTGTGTTACAAGTGTCGTAAAACTCTTACTAAAACTAAAGTGGATGTATCTTTCCAAAATGGTTTGCCCTGTGCCTTTGACCTTTGTACCATAATGTTTTGTTCAGTTACAAAGAAAGATATTTTTGTAATGTTTATGCATGTGTGTGAATAAATACAAAGTGTGGTATGAGGTAGTGTAACATTGATTTTGATGTTGTTGCTGATTTTAAAAAAAAATTTTTAATGGCCATTGTCATTGTTTTCAGCTGTAAAGAGAAATCTGACGGTGATTGTTCTGTAGTTTTGTACACACATGTTTTATTCATGAAGTCACGAAGTTTAAAGGTCAGACAGGGTAAAGAACCTGGTGTGCTGATGTCGTACTCTGCTCTTCTGAAATACCACTGCCATTCTTAGGGGATGGGAGGGGGGGGGGGGGGGGGTTGAGGGTTTTGACGAAGATTTTGGAAACCTGAGTCTGAAGATGAAGAATATTCTTATGTTTGAAGCATTCTGAAGTTTGTGAGTCTGTCTATGTTGTCTTCACATTCTATTGAAGATAACTTTTCTGATTTCTTATTACTTATGCCCAATGTTTAAAGCATAGAGCATCAATTTATGTCACTGTGTCATTGTCGAAAGTTGGAAAGTCGCCACATTTAGCGACAAAAGATGAACAAAAAATCTATGTGTGCCCATGGAAAATTGTTGTTTTTGATTATTTGTGCATTTGTATGTAAGTTTTGCATGGATTTTTGTTCAAATGCTCAGAGTAATATTGAAAAACAAGCAAATGTCGTCACTGCACTAGCAAAATGTGTCATTTTTCGCTATTTTTGAGAATGTTGGAAAAAGACTGCTTTTCTGGCTTATTTATCATCTAATAATAATGGTAAAACTTGCCATGCAGTTTTCTTTTGTGACTGCCACCACATTTTTGTTTTGGTTTTACCAAAAGATAGATATGGTACCACCAAATGAAATAAAAGGCTAATAGCATTTTGGCACAACTCTGAGTAATACTTTCTTGCTAGTGCTGTGACTGTGTGTTTGTTCAGCTGGTCATTATGCTCCTTTGTTGCTTGATGCCTGAATGGCTGGGGCCTCTATAAATAAATCATTGATGGTCTGGTCTGGTCTGCTTGATGCCTGCTTGTTCTAGAACAAAGGGGTCTTCTTTCTTCTTCAGTGGCCTAGTGGTTGGGCTCTGTGACTCAGCCATAAGGTCAGGGGGTTCAAATCCCATCTGAGGGCCTGATGTTGTGCCCTTGGGAAAGACACTTTACACAAATTTTCCTCACTTCACCCAAGTGGATGTTGGTACCCGGCTATAGACAGCAAACGAATCTTGTCAATTTGTTTGTATTTAAGCACTTTGTCAGTTTCTTGCACTGCATAGTTCCTGGGAAGTCGAGAATGTTTCTTTGGGTTCCCGGGTCTGCTGGGGTAATGATTGTGATAAAAGGCATAGAGCTTGCTGGAGAGTGTGGATATGCAGTATATAAGTGCAGTGATCATTATTATTAATGTTGTTGTTGTTGTTGTTATTATTATTATTATTATTTATATTATCATTATTATTATGAGAATACCGTGTGACTGTAGCTAGCAGTGACATCTCTGCGAAACATTTTCCTGCGACTCCACGTCTTTTGTTTGTCCTGACATCCAACCTTTGTACATTCCCTTGCAACTGTTGCTGCTGCCTGTTCCCAAACGGTCGCTTTTAAGCACAGGGGGGCTATCCTGAAAAATGCCGTTTTGAGAAAATCGAAGGTAAATTTTTTGCCCCTTGTTCAGTTTCTTTAAAAGACTAGGAGAGTTTTCTCTATAATCAAAAAAATATACACACCAATGAAACCAAACTTCTATAGGTAGGGCAATGCCCAATTTTGGTGCAGGTAAAGATTTCTGGAAACCCCCGGAATCTGGGTTGGCCCGCTTGTCCTTAAAAGCGACCGAACGATTCTTTACTAGAATGAGAAGCTTTAAAAAGCCAATAGTTTGACTGTTAGCTGCAGTTATTTGCGTTGTGATTTTTTTGTAGAGGACGAATACAGTGAGGCCCCATTGTAACATTCCGTGGCTCTTTTAGTTTAGTTTTGGTAAGAGTTTTACAGCCCTTGCGACACAGAAATGTCATATAAGTGCCGAAGATTTAGAGGTGTTACAAGAGAGTAACACACACAAAAAAATGAAGGAGGGGAGATAAGGACGATAGATGTTCGATATGAAAGAAAGAGCAAACCACACCAGAGCGCCCGCCAACCACACGCCATTCCCTGACTCTGTTGGATGTGGGTGGTTGGCGGGCACTTTGGTATGGTTTGCTAAATCTTTTTCTATCCAACGGATCTATCGTCCTTATCTCTCCTTCCTTTCTTTGAATGTTACTTTCTACTAACACCTCCAATCTTCAGCACGTATATGACCTATTTGTTGTTTTGCATATGAGCCATAAAACTCTACTGAAAGTTAAAGCTAAATTATTAAATACACCGCTAGCGGTCTTTGAACTTTTTTCAGGAATGCAAATTCCTGACAAGTTTTCAGACATTGTTTATGTGTTAGTTTCTTCTTTAACAACATTGATTTTTTCCAGAAATTCTTTCTTGAGTTTGAGTGATTTGCTCACACAAGTCAAACATGAGAAAGTTTAATAAATTACAACAACAACAAAAATTATTTCAGATACATATTCTTGTGTCTTCATGTCTCACTTTGCAAGGAAAAAGAGTCAACTTTTTTCTTTCTTCACTATGGAGTGACTTCCAGGATTGACTTTTAATGGGGTTTCACTGTGTTGTGGACTTGAAGTTTTTTCCTGTGATCTCTCCATTGAGCTGTTGATTTTTGGTGTAATTTGTGGTAATGAAGCGTGAAGCATTCCTTTCCTGTTCCTACGACTAGTGCATATAATTATACATGTGTGTGTATATATATATATATATATATATATATATATATATATATATATATAGGCCTCCTGATATTGCTTGTCATCATGCATGTAATTCTTGTTTCTGTGATTGGACTTTGTACTCATCCTCTGTGGAATATATGCACGGAGGTTCATGTGATATGATGCATTTATTTTGTACCCACTACTGTTGAGTATTTTCAGATGTCCGTGTCTCAAAAGAAACTCATTGTGAGAGGGATCTATGAAGAGTTTGCAATTTGTTCGGCTTTGATTGATGCAAACTTTTTCACGGTACATGTATATATGTTCTGGAAAATGATATTTCTTTTTTTTTGTGTGTGATTTGTAATTATTAGTGGTGAATCTCATCTTGCAATCTGGAAAAAAATTAATAAATCAGAGGCTCTAAAAAGATAGGCTTTTTGAAAAGTGCAATTTAAAAAAAATCCTATTGTGAGCACATAAAGACACAATGATGGTAAAGGTTCATCATATAATTATTTGATGATGCTGTTCTCTATCCATGTAACTGGTTTCCTGAAAAATTTTTCAACCAGAAGAAAAAAGCTTCTGTTTTGAATGATGAGAGAGATGCAATACTTCACCCTAACCGTACATCGTGTTTTACTATCGTATCCTTATGACGTGGGGAATTTTGTGCCACCACTTTCTAAAGAGGATATTTAATCATTAATCTGATTCATTTGTTGTGCACAGCTGTCTGTCAAAATGATTTTCTGAGAAATAAGGAAAGCTTCAAAGAGATCTTCGTACTAGAAGTATTCTTAAATGTGAAGAATACAACCCTGGGGGTACAAAATGACCCCAGGGCGTACGGATAGGGTTAAACAAACTGTACTTTTTTTGCACTGTGTAGAGTTTTTATGAAGCAGGCTGACTGGTCATAATTATAAAGATCCCGCATATTGACCTGGGCAATGATTTTTTAAACAAAAATAAAAACGCTACCCATTTCTTCATCTACTTATCATAACGGTAACACCCTCAATTTATTGTCCTTCGTTTACCCAGCTGATAGATTTTTCTTGTGTGCATGGTGGTTGCTTTAGCTCATGTTTCATCAACTCTTGATGGTTGTTTTATCTCATGTTGTAATATCTCATAATGGTTTTTTTATTTCATGTTTTATTATCTGTTACTCATGATGGTTGTTTTATCTCATTTTTCATCAACTCATAATGGTTATTTTATCTTATGTTTTATCAACTCATGAGGGTTGTTTTATCTCATGTTTTATCAACTCATGATGGTTGTTTTAGTTCATGTTTCATCCTGGCGGTTGCTTTAGCTCATGTTTTATCATCTCATGATGGTTGCTTTAACTCATATACCGTCAACTCATGATTGATATTTTAGCTCATGTTTCGTCATAATGGTTGTTTAAGCACATGTTTTGTCATCTCTTGATGGATGTTTTAACGCATGTTACATCAACACATTGACTCGGGTACATTGCTGATTGCGAGATCAGCACTTACCTTTGGTCTTCTGTACAGTGTACATATGTGTATGTGTGTGTTTGTGTGTGTGTGTGTGTGTGTGTGTGCGTTTGTTTGTGTGTGTGCGTGTGTTTGTGTGTGTGAGTGCGCGAGTGTGTGTGTGTGTGTGTGTGTGAAAGAGAGAGTGTGCATGTGTGTGTGAGTGTGTGTGTGTGTGTATGTGTCTTTCTTCTTCAACTCACAAAACTCGACACGGAAGGCCACATTCCTATCGCTGCCTAGTCCCAAATACGTTTAACTCACGAATGTCACCAGCATCTGTAGTGTAGTGGGTAGACACTTTTTCCACCGCATGTACAAGATGTTAGTTCGATTCCTGTGTGGGGAGACTTATTTGTGAAGCGTGCTTCTCAGATTCAAACCTTAAGGAAGTAGATATTTTGCTTTTTGGATAAGTTTTTACAGTTCACAAGTATGACATAATTAAAGACGGATTATATGTAATGGGGAGAATTTGTAAAGCATGCTTATCGGATTCAAACCTTAAGGAAATAAATACATC